TTGGGCCAATGAATGTCAATAGCAATAATAATCTTACTGCTCGAAATTACACGATAACGCTTAAATTCAAATGCAAGTCAAAAGTATCATAGATATAACCAAAATAATTTTTATGGTTGCTGAGGCTGAAGCTAGATCACGATTGTAAGATTTCTGACAAGTTGGGGTTTATTTGTTTGCCACTTTTTTTTTCCGGAGAGAACGCTTTAGACGTATTTGCTATCAGTGTAATTGTTTAGCTCAATTGCTACTGTGTTCCAAAACATAGCGGCCACTGTTGTTTCAAGAGAGAAATCGCGTTCGTGGTTTTAAAACTTGGTATCATTCACTGAATTTCGTTAAAATGCGAAGCAGGCCTATCATAGATTTTCAGTTCACAACAGGGATTCAGACTACAGTTTCTTTCAATATTTCAAAAATAAAATTTTCCATTTATGCTGGAGGGTAGTGAAATTGAATCGTTGGTCAATCCTCGATGTCCCCGTCTTGGAAATTTTTCGCATTCGGGAAAAAAATGTTTGTTTCAGCTTTGAATAGAGGAAATTACTGCTCATGAATACTTTGAGTTTATTCGACCTCCATAACTGGTAGTTTTTTTGTTGTTCTTTGATTTTCCAAAAACTTCATGGCATAATCTGAAATGCACTGCTTGTCGCGATACCACCATGCACTGATATCCGACACAGTCTTTGATGTTCCGTTTTCACGACAAGAATGCACGTATCTGCACAAATCACACATGCTGGTTTCTGCCGTTGATCTTTGATAGTGTTTCGTCCATTCCAGGTAACTGCAAGAATATCTATTCCTTCATATCTGATTTGAGTTTTTATTAGAAAAAAATAACATAATTCTTGGCTAATGAGTTTGCTGAAAAGATAACTAAGGTAAATAAAGCAGGTAGTTCCGCTTTTCCAGTGAGCATGCGATTTGGAACACCTTTTCACAATTACTGGGATTATTTGTTTTTGTTTTTTGGTATCACTGCCAGTGGATGTGATGCTGAAATAGTTCTTCACTCGTGCTGAAGGTGGAGAACTTCACTTCACCAGTGGAATATCCGCAGTAAGCTTTCTTCACACAAATGTTCGAAATCGAAGTCACTGACAGCCTTATCAGCATATGATTGCTGTGGACAGCTGTTGCTATGCAGCGCTACATCCAAATGCTTTTGCATTTTATAAAAGATGAATTTAGAAGGGATTTTCACTTCCATTTTTATGCCTTTTCGCATCAAAAGCAAAAGCGAATACTATCGAAAGATTATCTGTGTGTTTGTATGCGTAAAGTTCGAATTTTGCTATCCGTACAAAAACGCATAAAAAGTAAAAGGGAAAGCCAGCTGAGAAACTGAATCACGGTTAGAAAGTTTAAATTCCACAGTAGCTTCCTTTGTTGAGGTAGAGACTTTAACTTTGGCTTCAAAGTACGCCGAGATACGTGTCACCAAGTGAAATTCCGAATTGGAACACCACTTATACTTTTCTAACTCAAAAACCGGACCTAGTATGGATATTTATTTAACGTACGCGGGTCAGTAAGAGCAAAAAGATCGCTTATACCTATGCCACGCGTGCTAGACATTTTGATAGGACAAATGTTGTGAGTATCGTTGTCTCTTGGAAATCAGGCAGGCTAGAAAGCTGAAATTCTGCGAATCATCATCATCAGCTTAGCAAATGCTATCTCTTCCGAACCCAAAAGAATCGTTCAATAAGAATATTACCAATATGTGCTCACGCAACAAACTGTGAAGCAATGAACGGTCTTATTTAAGCGGTCCTTTTGCTGCATGAAAACTTGCAGGAATGCACGATCGTATGGGGAAACTTGGCGCTAGTCGTTAATTAATAAGACGATAGTGGTGATTTTTGCTATCGTTACCTCAAATAAACAGTATTGTTTCTTTCCAGATAATTAAGGTATTTGGCAAGTTGGCGCGGTGACTCAAAATCGTCGGCAGCAATAAACGATCCGGGTGGCAGAGAAACATCATAAATAGATCTGTTGAAGATAATTGGCACCAGTAACGACTCCATGCGTGCGAAAGTTTTTTCGGTAATATAATCACGACATACACTGTTCTCAAATGCCAAATAAAAACGATGCTGTGCTAAAAAAAAACACTTTTTTTTTAAATGTGGGCTTCGTGCGCTATCCTCCTTTACAGTCGGGGGACGCAATCATGTGCGCAATCATATGTGCGATGATTACACGCACTAGGGCGCGGATGTGACCAGGTGTTGTCGAGAGCGTTTGCTACGAAGGCAAAATAAAACATGACAACTTGCAAAAAACGAGATACTAATTTCGCGTCCTTCGTCTTCTGATGGCCAATAAGGCTGTCTGAATGGTCGGTGTGCAAACTATACACCTAGCGGGGAGTAAGAGATTACACTCCCAAATTTTCAACTTTACAACCTATTTCAGCTAGACACCGCATTTTTACGCGTTTTTGCTGTGCAGCGCTATAGCAGTATAGAGCGCTGTGTGTGTGTGTGTTCGGAAAGCGAGTGCATTTTGTTACCCACTTTCATCTCAGCAACCAGGAAAGCTGGGAGGCTGAAACTTTGGATGTATGTTCCTACCACGTGTGCCATCCTCCCGTTTTAAGGCCTTTCCCCATACGCGCCTAGACCCCGCGTAAGAGGCCCCCAAAGAAATATGTTGGTGTAAACAATTTTGCGAACCAGGCAATGTAGAAAGCTGAAACTTTGCAGGGACATTCTCTGTGCACGTGCGAGATAAAAATTTTAAACTCAGCTCTCTAGCTCCCCAACCACAGCCTTAAGCAGCTCCTCAACTCAAAAATCGTTAGCAACTCGGACGTGAATCGCAATTGTGTATGCAAATGAACATGGATTTTTTGAAAAACGACCGTTTAAGCAATATTTTTAATTTTTAATGAACTGAAAATCTGCACTTGTCATTTTTTCGCAAAGCAAGCATTTACCGAAGAAACGACAGGACTTTATGAAAAAAAAACCGGTAATCATGCACCTGGATGTCCATGCGGCTCTATAATGCGCCACCTGCAAATTGCCTCTACTTTTATGCGTTTTTGCATGTATGCAAATGTAACCCAGGCTGCAACGCGCCGAGCTTACAAGTGCAAGTTTACGCTTTTGAGCCAAACTTGCAGAGCGCTAACAGCAGGAATGATTCCTGTGCTGTAGTTTAACACTTGCATCCATACTGGCTGTTTTGGCCTTCTCCTGCTTGCAGTGGGAAGGGGCGTCGGCTGGGATGAAAATGTTGTATTATGGGATCGCATGGACCTTCAGTCTGCATGACTGCCAGTTTTTTGAATGAAGCCTGTTCGTTTTTCCTGTGAATGCTTGTTCATTTAAAAGATGCGTATTTAAAGAAGGTCGGAAGAGGACTACGAAATCTCTAAATTGCACTTAGTTTTGAATTTGCTATAAAAATGAGTATCTTTCATATTGTGTGAAGGGAATTTCACCTCCAAGCTGAATTAAGACCAAACGTGAATAAAAAAAACAGCCTTACAAAGCTTCAACTTCGCAGCTTGCCTTGTGAGCGAATAGCCGCTTCGTTACAAATATCTTTGAAGTGCCGTAAGTTATGGTGCAAGTGGAAATCGAAACTCAATTTAGGTGTACGATTTTCCATTTAAACAACAAATATTTTGACAAGATTTTAGCTGCTATTTTCCAGCTACTTTTCGAGTTGAAACATTGCCAACTGTGAACTTTGACGTAGCTGTAAGTATGATATAAGAGTGCGCGATAGCTAAGGTTGGAATCTTTAGCTCATACATGTACGAAGAATATTCTTGCAATGTTTCAATTTCCCATCTTGTCTGGTCCACGAAATCGTTTTCCACCGAGAAATTTGCTTATTTTTTTGGGAGTTCATGTGCGAGTTCTAGGAGCGTATGAGCGAAAATTTTAAAACGGGAAGGTAAAATATAGGGTAGGAATATAGCAGAAACGCATAAAAACTATTGGCCGTCATCAAAAAACTATTTGTCATCATGTTTCATGGAGAGAAATAGCTTCTTGATGAGCTTCATCAGTGCATAGTATTTACCGGAGAACAAAGGATACCAATGAGATTTTTCTCGCACTCACTGTC